ACTTAGTACTTATATACTCTTTTGTTTTTGGCAGTATTTATATATTCTAAAATTTTTAAATCTTGCATTTATATACTCTTTTTTTTGCAGCACTTATATGCATTAAAGTTTTTAAAACTTGTACTTAAATATCCTAAAGTTTTTTAAATTTGCACTTAAATACCATTAGTTATGCCAATTGAAGGGTATTTAAATGCAAGATTTAAATACTTTAGGGTATCTAAGTGCCAATTTTAAGAAATTTAGGCTATTTAAGTACATGTTTTAAAACTTTAAGGTATTTAAGTGCCAAATTTAAGAACTTTATGTTGGCCTTCTTGTTTTGATGATGTTTAACAAACAATTTACTTCTAATGTTGTTTGTCTAGTGGTTATGTTTTCGTATTTATTCTAGGCAAACAACAAATTGGAGGTTGGATGGAATCGAGCATTCGCGATCATATCAAATGGAGGTTGGCGGAATTGTGGAGTGAAGCCTACGCAATTCAAGTTAACTCATCATACTGAGGAGAATAGTATGGCTAGCCCGATTCAAACGGTAATCGGTAAAGGCACATCAAACCCGTTGATAGCTGAGGATTTGCTAAAAATCCTAAGAGAAATCGAAGGCACTTGCTTCGCCAACAATTTCTTCATTCAAAGTATTCCAGACCACACGCAAGCCAGTTTAGGTCTGAAAACTTTGAAGGGGGTCTTGTAGACGGTAAAAAATACCTCTATGGGTCTACAGGGAATTTGTCTACGAGAAGAGTTCGCACGCCCAGTTCTCTGGCACGGACCTAAACCGCGTAGACGTCGACTGTACTCAAGTCCAGGTTCGCCTAACGGTCGACTCGCCAGCATGAGTCAGGGTCGATCAGGATGGCGGAAATTCGCTCTTCGCTCAACTCGCCTGCCCGAGTTCGGAGTCGAATCCGCCAGCAAGCCCCAAAACCGTCAGTACAGCTGGGTATCCACTACCCCACGTGCTGAGATGGACCTTCCCATCTCTCTCGACCCGAAGGGAGAGAGAGCACAGTACCCCAGGACCGTCAAACGGCCGCTCGCAGTGCGCACAGTGCGAAGGGACTGGACAGGTGTCGAGTCAACCTGAGCATTCATAAATGCGACTCACCTCGGATGTCTGAGCCAAGAGCTGGATCCGCCGGCACTCGGCAAGCTGGCTAGACCCACTCGAGTACTGTACACCTACTTCACCGCCTCTCCTGACCGAAAAGGAGAAAGCACCGTGCTCAAGGCACGCCGGGCGGTCACGCACAGTACAAGTGATCGGACAGACACTTCATCGATCTGCGAACTCATAAATACGGTTCATTAATGCTGGCCAAATCCACTCGGATAGCAGTGTTTTCGTCAAAAGTTGTTTCCATTGCAGATTCCATTAAAACTTCGATCGTTTACAAAGAATTACAATGAAAATAAAAGAAAATACAACTCTCGAGAAAATAACACAGAAATTGTTTATCAACTCCTGCTTTTGTGGGACTTTGCCTGTGCCGGGAACGCTTTAGTTCGTGGACCACCGATTTGTAGATCGAGAGGTTGTCTAGTGATCTCTCCTTCGTTTATCGAAGTAAAGATTTGAAAACGAATATCTTATCGATGTAAGATGTTCGTTCTTCCAAAGATCAAGTCTGAGCTTAGATCTCTAGGATTCACCAAATGATGCTTGTCAAAGGGTGAAAATTCTCTCTTTCTTTAGCTCCGATCGCCGACGAACCAAGCAGACCCGAACTCCATTGCCCCGAGCTTCTACTGCGAACTGAAGCTCTCCAGCAACCTCATTCAAACGGTCCAAGGGAAGCAGACTCGACCCGAGCATCGAGCGAAGCGTCCTATAGCCACCTAAAGTCCCCACACAAAACAAAGAGGGCCTTCCCTCTGCTTCTGTTGTAAACATTTGATTTGTTAGTTTGTAATAAGCTTTCTTATAAATACAAACGAAACTCCTTTCTTCGGAAGAATCAAATTTTCACCCTACAGCTTGAAACCGCTCTCCCACGACTTTTAACCACTTTTTTTCGTGGTTTAACCGCTTGTCCATGTCAGCACACGTTCTATTTCTGATATTCCACCACGTGGACTTCAAAAAATCATCGGATAACTGCCTCACAACTGCCACAACACCTCTCATAATAGCCGCGACACCATAGGCTGCCGCGCCTTAGCCGCGGCACCTTGGACTGCCGCGCCTTGGCCGCGGCACCATTGGCTGCCGCGCCTTGGCCGCGGCACCCTGGACTGCCGCGCCTTAGCCGCGGCACCTTGTTCTGCCGCGCTGCGTTGTGTTGCCTGACGATGTGTATATTGTTCCTCCATGTTATTTCGAGTGGTACTTGTATGTCTGTAAGCATTTTTTTAACGCCTACACCATTGTCATATAATTTCATGGAGTCCAACATTAATGATTTCATAAGCTATTACCCATAATTTTTGGACAGTTTTAGTCATTTTAGTCCATTAATAAATAATTTTGCATAGTCTAAAATTTACATGTTCGTGAGCTATAACCCATAGTTATTGATCATTTTTACTCGTTGATACCCATGACAAATAATTTCACAATAGGTAAAATCCACGATTTCATTTCAACCCCATGGTGAATAATTTTATAAAGTTCAAAATTCATGATTTTCTGAGCTATAACACACGAATTTTGAAAATTTTAGTCGTTCAATCCTATTGGTAAATAATTTTATGGAGTTAAAAATTTACTATTTTATGAGCCGTAACACATGATTTTTGACAATTTTTATTCACTTTGACCCATTGGCAATAATTTCGCGAAAACAAAACATCACAATTTTGTGAGCTATAACCCATGATTGTTGGCTATTGTTAGTCTTCTCTATCTATTGGCAAATAATTTTACGAAATTATAAATTAAGCTATAACCCATGATTTTTTCCCTAATTTTTAGTCATTCAGACCCATTGGTAAAATAATTTACAGAGGCTAAAATTCATGATTTTATGAGGTATAACACACAAAATTTGGCCTTTTTTTAATTTATTTTGACCTATTGTCAAATAATTTTGTGGAGACATGAAATTCACTACTTCATAACCTATAATTGATAATTTTTGGTCATGTTTAGTCATTTCGACACATTGAAAAATAATTTCTCGATTTTTGGTCAGTTTTAGTCATTTCGACACATGGGTCTGAATGACTGAAACAAAATTTCTTAATTTCATTAACTATATAACCCACGATTTTTGCTCAATTTTACCCATTTAGACCCATTGACAAATAATTCATGATTTTATTTGCTATAACCCATGATTTTTGGTCATTTTAGCTCTTTTTTAACCCATTGACAAATAATTTCATGTAGACAAAAAGTAATAATTTTCAAGCTATAACCCACGATTTTTAGTAAATTTAGTCATTCGAACCTAGTTTCTCAAAAATTTGCAGAGTCACACATTCACAATTTCATGAGCTATAACCCATAAACTTTGGCCATTTTTTTAGTTTTGACTTATTGGCAAATAATTTCCTGAAGTTAAAATTTCACGACTTAGTGAGCCATAATAGATGATTTTTGGCGTTTTTTGGTCATTTGACCCATTGACAAGTAATTTCCTGGAGTTCAAAATTAATAATTTCTTGAGCTTATAACCCATGATTTTTGGCTATTTTTATTAGTTACGATCCACTAGCCAATAAGTTTACGAAATTTAAAATTTATAATTTTATGAGTTATAACCCACGAATTTTGGTCATTTTTAGTCATTTCTACCTGTTGCCAATTCCACGGAGTTCAAAATATATGATTTCATGAGCCAAAATCATCAAATTTTTGTAAATTTTAGTCATTCAGACCCATGGTAAATAATTTACGGAGGCTAAATGCATGATTTCATGATTTATAACACATAAAATTTTGTCTATTTTATTCCTTCTGACTTATTAGCAAATAATTTTGCGGAGTTTAACATTCATGATTTTATGAGCTATCACTTAAGATCTGACCATATTTAGTCATTTTTACCTTTTGACAAATAATTTCGCAGAGTCCAAAATTCATAATTTCATGATCGATAACCCACATAATTTTTTGTAATTTTAGTCATTCAAACCCATTAGTAAAAAGTTTGTGGAGTCCAAAATTTACGAATTCATAAGTTATAACCCATGAATTTTGACCAATTTTATTTGTTTCAACCTATAGTCAAATAATTTCACGGAGGTCAAAATTTATGAATTCATGAGCTATAACCATGATTTTTGACCGTTTTTAGTCATGACAAATAATTTTACAGAGTGTAAAATTCAAATGTACATGAGCTATAACTCATTATTTCTAGCAATTTATAGCTATTCCAACCCATTGAAAAATAACTTGGTGTAGACCATAATTCACGATTTTATGAGCTGAACTCATATTTTTTTTGTTTTTTCTTGTTTTGGACCAATTTGTTACATTGTGCAAATTTTAACACATTATCATTGTCGAAATTAGTTTTAATACAAATTTTTTTAATAACCCAATCTGAAATGAGACTCAAGATCTTAAGAGCCATATTGAAGCCTCTCAATGGACCGAGTTACCCGCAGTGTGTAATACTAATATAATTCTAAGGTGCTATTGTCATGTGGTAATTTAAGCTCCCAACATTTATGTGAAGGGGCTATTTGGTTGGCTAAAAAAAGGAAATCAATTATAAGAAACTTATTTTCTATAATAGATTCTTTTCTTGTATTTGATTCACTTTTTAAAACTAAGAAATAAGATGAGATGTGTTGTCACCATATTATTGGATGACGTGACTCATTTTTAAGGAAATCCATTTCATGCTTTAAAAAAAATTTTTTTTTTAATGATTTCATTATCCTATTTTTTTTATTTTAGAAAATCAACCAAACAGGCCCGAAGTCAATTGGAATCAGAACAGCATAAAATTGTAATTTGTGGTCCCCACCATTTCTTTTTGCAATGCGGTCCCCCACCATTTTAATTGCACTTTTCCATAAAATATCACCCAAAAAAATCCCCTCCCCAGAAAACCCACCTTAGAGCCGACCCCTCAAAAACCCAAAACCCCTTCTTTTTATCAAGCAAGTTGACGGCGGCGGTTCCGTTGACGGCGGTTTTCGTTGGCGTTGGCGATTTCAGCGACAGAAGCAGTTAACTTTGATTTCTAGTGGCGGCGGCGGCGGCGGTCCGATTTCAGCTGGCGGCGTTTTGATTTCAGGTACTCTCTCTCTTTCTCACTGTTTAATTGAAAATTGGTGTTTAAGTTCAGTAAAAGTTTCCTTTTTTAATTGAAAGATTGATTCTTGATTGCTACAATTTGCGTATATGTGGATTGGTAAGCTTTGAAGGTTTTGATTAGTAGTCATGTCAGGCTTTTGTTGTAAATAGGATTCAAATGAAATCACTATTGAAGAATCTTATACAAAGACTGATGAAATATTCGAGAAGGAAGAGAAGTTAATGGCGAAAGCATGATTGGTTTTGATAGAATTCATAAAGTTGTAAAGGAAAGAGTAGATGAGAAAAATCTTATATTTAAAACAATAGGGGCTAAATGTAAGCATTGCTCATTCGAATGTGGTGAACGTAGGAGAAAAAAAATACTATACCATGGATGCGAGCTGAGGTGAAAAGGTAGAATTTTTGGATGTTTAGATGAATATATCAAAGGCTAACCAAAATATGAATTATTATTTTTTAGATTCTTGGAAAAAATTGATGTAGTAACAAAGCATAATCATGTAAAAGCAAATAAAAGTAAATATAGCTTTGAAGTTTAAGAAATAATTGATTTTTGTGTATATTATGTATGATGTATAAATTCCTAGAGGCCTCTGCCAAAACAAGACCTTGGTAAATTATGTAGATTCTTACTATTTGAATATGAATATTATTTTCTGCTCAATGTTCTGGAGATCTCAATTATGATGAACCTGATATCTCTACCTTGTAATTTTGTTAGAAATCTCAATTGTTCATTCATTTGAAAGAATAATTGAAATTTGATATATAAAATTTACCAACACAAAAGGCAAAAGCGACACTGTTCACTTATTCTTGATCATTTATCTACATACAAAATTTATATTGAAATTTCAAATGTCAATTGAACACCTTTCTGAATTTTAAATGAATGATTAAAGCTTAAGGGATATAATGTACTGTTGATAATATATAATGTTAAGATCTGAAATCAAGGAGAACAACGAGACCGGTAATCCATTGTAGTGGCAGAATCCTAGAGTTCAGAGGCCAACCCAATGCATGAAACATACCCAATAAAGAGAGTCTTAACACTGGCCTAAACCTATCTGAACTCAAATTGATAAGTTGTAGAAAACCTCACAACTTTTTCAGGTTTTGTTAGAATTTTTATGTATAAACATTTGACCAGCCCAACCCAAGAGGCAGCCACAAACCCAGCCACTGCATCCCCATATCACACAAAATCCCCAATTTCTAGGATTTACTTTGCTCTCCTAATCTCAGGTGTTTAGAATTTGATCTAGTTAGCTTCTCTTAATCGTCATGCTGTTCGTCACTTCTATTTTATTTTTAGGAAAATAATTGTTTTTAAATTAAATTTCTGGCTTTTTTTGGACTGCTTTAATGCATATTGTGAAGGTTACATCATCATTATTTTCTTGTGGCAGATTATTTTGTGGATTTTTAACTTAACTGTTTATGTCCTTTTTCCCGTTCAATTAGCTAGGTAAATTAACTCTTTTAATAGCTCTTCCTTTGTTTTTATTACATTGATTTCTTTATGGTTTCATAGAGCAACTATTTGATGATGACAGGGTTATCTTTTGTTTTCTTGCTTACATCTTCTTATTCTCTAAGTTTTACAGCAAAAGCTCTTGTATTTTTTATATTGGTGTGCCTCTTGTAGCAATTAATGATGAGAACTCCACATAATATATATCTTGTTGATCCCCAGTCGCCTTCAATTATTCAAGATCGTCATTAGCTTAATTAAGGCGACAACTTCCCTCACACACCAAGGCTACTTCTTAAAAACGACGGTCTTTTGATTTTGTATGTTTATCTCTTTCAAAAATGAGTTAACTTACTAGTATTAGGTATTGGCAATTGCAAATCACTAGCAAAGTGATTTGGAAAAAATTGTAATTTAGGTTATATCTTTATCTTTTCAAGACAAAATGAAGAGTTAAAATCTGTTTTGTACTTATATCCAGCACATATTCATTTTGTATTTATATTCAAACTGTATCTGTATTCTTTTCTGGTTACGGAGGTACTAAAATTTATCCATATTTGTGATAATATAAATGTCTTACTCAGTCCATATACGATCCATTTGCATTCTTACCTACAGGGTGTTAGAACAGAGGTAATGTATCTCAGAGGGAATTCGGGTGAGTGTATCTGGTATCCATTAACTGGAAAGCAACAAGGGGGAGCACCTAGCCAATCACTCGCCTTTTAGAATAAAACCCTATAACCCAAAGTTCCTCCCACCTTACTCTCCTCCCCCCTCCTGTTCTTCCACTATCATTGGCTTTTCATTTGATTCTTGATAGATTCTTAGGTACAATTTTAAAACCCAATCTGGATTTTCTGAAATTCTTTAAAATGTTTCAATCTTCCTTAGTTTTTTTTGTCTGTAGGTATTTTTTTTCTTAAAAAGTTGGTACATTTGGCATAAGCTTCGTGGAAAAGGTGCAGCTTTAGTGTATGGGAGTTTTCATTATTTGTATTGTGCTTCTCGCTCCACTACTTTCTTGCAGCATATATTTCTTATAGGAGGTTATTGTTGAGGCAATTTTGTATTATGGTTTTGTGTATTCTCCTAAAGTTTCTATATTTTCCCTTTGCATTTAGTTTTCAATTATGTTCTTAAAACAATCGCGCTTTAATCATTTTTAGGCATGTATGTACGTCCAGATTATTTTTTTTAAATGCTTGTGTTTTGTTACTTGATCATTTTCCCTATAATTTAAGTATGATTGTGATTTTTTATTTTGATTTATCTTCCATATATTCATCTAAGTCTCCAATGTTCTACCTTCCCCTATCGATTTAATTTAAGTTCATGTTATTCTCAAGGATGGCGCATTAAACAAATTTAGCTCATAATTCACCATGAAGTTTGGGGGCATGAGATTGCCAAAATATGAAACCCTTTCTGTTTCTTAGTCACAATCTGATGGCTGCAACCTTGTATGTTTGTGCTTTATAGGTGTGATGTAAAATGAGTATCCCATTTTAAATTTCTGCGTTTTGGTTTTGGGTTTGTTTTGTTGTTTAACTTGTTAAGTCTTCACTTTTGTTCCTTATTCTGTCTTATTTTTAATGCTCTTGAAATTGGTTCTTAGCAAATTTTCTCAATATTTACTCAGTACTTTAGTACTTGGTTTTCCAAAATCCTTGGGTTTTAATCTTTGTTCATGCGTAAGTCGCAGTTTTGCTGCCTGCAATTTGGTTTAATGTAATATCTGCACTCGCTTAACCGTACTATTTGTTGCTATTGCTTGTGCTTGCTGCTTAGGCTTTTTACAAACTGTTTGTATCCGTGACTTCTTTAAGGGTTGATTGCAGATAAACCCCCTGTAGTATCGCCTTTTGAACTTACTACCCCTCTGGTTTTATTTTTGCAGATAAACCCCTAAATGATTTTCTTGACTTTTTCACCCTTAGCGGGCCCATTTTTGAAAAACAATTTTCTCTTTTCTGAGGGTAAAAGAGTAATTTTTTTTAACTCTGGTAGTCTTATCTGCAAAAACAAAACTAGAGGGGCAGTATGTTCAATACAACAATACTAAAGGGTGTCTATCCATAATTTACCTTTTCGTTAAAGTATCGACATGCACCTTCTGTAACTTAGTCCTGTTACATCAGACTCCATGATTGTTAAGTTTGGGTTTGAGCCCAGTTTTCGATCTCCCTTTTCTCTGGTTATCTTTAGTGCTACAATTTGGTTTTTTAGAACATGATATTAAGTTAGCCACCGCGGGTGACCCGGACAGTTGGGAGGTTCCAATATGACTCTGACGGTTTTAGGTTTGATTCCGGGCTGGGTTATTTAAAAAACATGATGTAAAGTTAAATTTCCATATATAATATCAATACGATTACAGGTCATAGCTATATTATTACCTGATAATAGATAAAATATTTATGGTGTCTCCTTTCTCCATATTTTTCTTGTAAATAATCCTACTCTGGAGTTTATATGTGTTGGGTTATAATTAGGGGTACGCAAAAATATCTGTATCCATTACAATACGAATATGGTTACTGAAATCTATAACCAATAGGATATGATTACACAATGAAATATCTGGATCCATATCTGAAATATTCAAATATACTTTAGTCATACTGTTGCAATCGTTTGAATCCTTAGATTAATAGATTTGAGGTTAATCTTGATGATCAAAATATCTAATCTTAACTTTTTAGATATAGAGAATGTAGTAATGAACTCTTTGGTATCATATGAACTATATATTTTTTTTTCAATGTCATCTGGTTTTCTCCTATGCATCTGCATGTATATGCGCTTATAATCCTCATGCATATCCGTATTCGTATCCGATTTTAGCAGATATGAATATGAAATTTCCTTCCATATCTATATCCGTGATTGGTAAGTGGATCGGATATGGTGAGTATCATATCTGAGCCGTATCTGGACTATATGCACCCCTAATTATAAGTCTATCATGCAAAGAAAGAAACAACAACAAGAAAGCTTGTTTGCTTGGTGTTTCTATATAAGCATAAACATCTATTATTAGGTTCCTAGTGCACAGAGGCAATTATTCATTTAATTTATGCTACATTGCTTTTGGGTTAATGTAGTATCTACCTAATCTCCATCTTGAGTTATATCCCATAACATATTTTAAAAGAATGGTCTTTGTTTAACCTGTCTCAGGATTGTAGGCTAACACTTTGAGATAGATCTTTGGGTCCTCATGCCTGTAACATTAATTCATTATAAAAATTTGAATTTAGTTTCTTGCTACATCACTTTTTACTTAACTGGGATATGGTATAAATCAAATCCATAGCATTGATCGTTTTGTTATTCAAGCTAAAAATTACAATTTTTTCCCCATTCCTACAGTGACCAATGGCTACGCTTGGGCAGTCTCCAAGAATTGACTTCTTACAGTGGAAGGTATATTTGGTTGTTCATAACATGATTCATTTTTTTGTTCGTCATTTTTCTTTTCTTTTCTTTTTCTTTTTAGGTTTTTGTTTCTCATGGATACTATTTCCATCTTTTCAGGGTACAAGAAGAAATAGGACTATTTACCTTAGAAATTTTCATCAAAGAAGATGCCAAAATATTTCTCGAAGCTTCAGCCCTGGACAACTCCCCAGGATATCTATTGATAACTCCATATTGAAACTCCCTCTTTTATCATGCGCAAGAGCTGTGGCCTCAAAGGGCTCACAGAGTGCATTGGCTGTAGAACACAAGTCATTCAATGAGATCATACACTTCTATCGCCTCCCTCTGCTTCAAGAGAGTGCTGCTGCCGAGCTTCTGAAGCAAGTGCAAGCCAAGATTTCTTGTGATATTATCGATATAAAGACCGAACAATGCTTCAATATCGGAGTAGGTTGCGTCTTATCCAATGAGAAACTTGGTATTCTCAAGTGGCTTCTGCAGGAAACTTACGAGCCAGAGAACTTACAAAATGTGAGTTTTTTGGAAAAAATTTCAAGTGGATCAGCTGTATTGGTTGAGGTGGGGCCTAGGATGTCTTTTACGACAGCATGGTCAGCAAATGCTGTATCAATTTGCCAAGCTTGTAATTTAACAGAAATAACCCGGATGGAGAGATCTAGACGGTATCTTTTACAACTGAGGCCAGGAAGCAACCCGTTGGAGGAGAGTCAGGTTAAAGACTTTGTTGCCATGGTTCATGATAGAATGACAGAGTGTCTTTATCCTTCCAAGTTGAAATCTTTTGAGATCAATACTGTTCCAGAGGCTGTTACCGTGGTTCCGATCATAGAGAGAGGAAGAGAGGCACTAGAAGAAATTAACACTAAAATGGGTCTAGCATTTGATGAACAAGACATCCAATACTATACCAGACTCTTCAAAGATGATATTAAGAGAAATCCAACTACTGTTGAGCTTTTCGACATTGCTCAGTCGAATAGTGAGCACAGCCGCCATTGGTTTTTCAACGGCAAACTTGTGATAGATGGAGAAGATATGAGCAATACTTTGTTCCAGATTGTGAAGAGTACTCTGAAAGCCAACCCGAATAATTCAGTCATCGGATTTAAAGATAACTCGAGTGCAATCAAGGGATTCACTGTAAATTCATTGCGTCCATTATTACCTGGATTGGTCTCCCCTTTACTTAGTTCAGTTCGTGAGCTTGATGTGTTGCTTACAGCTGAAACACATAATTTTCCATGTGCAGTTGCTCCTTACCCTGGAGCTGAAACTGGTGCTGGAGGTAGAATTAGAGACACTCATGCAACTGGAAGAGGTTCTTTTGTGGTTGCTTCAACTGCTGGTTATTGTGTCGGGAATCTTCAGATTGAAGATTCAAGTGCTCCATGGGAAGATTCCTCTTTTGCTTACCCGTCAAACTTGGCTCCTCCTCTTCAGATTCTAATAGATGCAAGTGATGGAGCATCAGACTATGGCAACAAATTTGGAGAGCCTTTAATTCAAGGGTATACAAGGACATTTGGATTGAGGCTCCCAAATGGAGAGCGGCGAGAATGGTTAAAACCAATTATGTTCAGTGGCGGAATTGGGCAAATCGATCACGCTCATATTAAAAAAGGTGAACCGGAGGTTGGAATGCTAGTTGTGAAGATTGGAGGTCCAGCTTATAGAATCGGCATGGGAGGTGGAGCTGCTTCAAGCATGGTTAGTGGACAAAATGATGCAGAGCTCGACTTTAATGCTGTTCAAAGAGGGGATGCGGAGATGGCACAAAAGCTCTATAGAGTTGTTCGTGCTTGTGTTGAAATGGGGGAGACAAATCCTATTATTAGCATTCATGATCAAGGAGCCGGAGGCAATTGCAATGTCGTGAAGGAGATTATTTACCCGAAGGGAGCTGAAATTGATATTCGGGCTATAGTAGTTGGAGATCATACGATGTCGGTTTTAGAGATATGGGGTGCTGAGTACCAAGAACAGGACGCTTTATTAGTGAAGCCTGAAAGCCGGGAGTTACTGGAGTCAATATGTGAAAGAGAAAGGGTTTCGATGGCAGTTATTGGTACTATTAGCGGCAGTGGACGAGTTGTATTGGTTGATAGTTCAGCCACTGAACATTCTTCTCCTGTGGAGGATCTTGAACTAGAAAAAGTACTTGGAGACATGCCTCAAAAAGTTTTCGAATTCAAACGAATGCCACAAGTACATCAACCTCTTGATATTGCCCCTGGAGTTACCTTTATGGATTCATTGAAGAGGGTATTGAGACTTCCCTCAGTTTGCTCGAAGCGATTCTTGACGACTAAAGTAGATAGATGTGTAACTGGTTTAGTAGCACAACAACAGACGGTTGGTCCATTGCAACTTCCACTTTCAGATGTTGCTGTTATCGCCCAGACTTATACTGACCTAACTGGCGGTGCTTGTGCAATTGGTGAACAGCCCATAAAGGGTTTATTAAACCCAAAGTCAATGGCGAGATTGGCTGTTGGTGAAGCATTGACAAACTTGGTTTGGGCGAAAGTTACATCACTTGGTGATGTTAAAGCCAGCGGAAACTGGATGTATGCTGCTAAGCTCGATGGAGAAGGAGCAGATATGTATGATGCTGCAGTTGCTTTATCAGAGTCCATGATTGAATTGGGTATTGCTATAGATGGGGGAAAAGATAGTCTCTCAATGGCAGCTCATGTTGCTGGTGAAGTCGTCAAGGCTCCTGGAAATTTGGTCATTAGCGCATATGTTACTTGTCCTGATATAACACTGACGGTAACTCCAGACTTGAAGCTAGGAGATAATGGTGTTCTGCTTCATATTGATCTTAGTAAAGGAAAACGAAGGTTGGGTGGTTCAGCTCTTGCTCAGGCTTTTGGTCAAGTTGGCAATGAATCTCCTGATCTGAATGATGTGGCTTACTTAAAGAAAGTGTTTGATACTATTCAGGAGTTGCTTGGCGAAAAACTAATTTCTGCTGGCCATGATATAAGTGATGGTGGAATCATTGTTACTGTTCTTGAAATGGCATTTGCTGGAAATTGTGGCGTGCAGTTGAACATGAGCACGAGGGGTTATAGTCTTATTGAAACTCTCTTCGCCGAAGAGCTTGGTCTTGTTCTTGAGGTCAGTTCGGAAAATCTCGATCAAGTTAATCAAAAGCTTCAATCATCCGAGATTTCAGCTGATATCATTGGGAAAGTTACTTCATTGCCGCTTATAGAATTATCAGTTGATGGAACACAACAGTTGAAGGAGGAAACATCTTATCTTAGGGATTTATGGGAGGAAACTAGTTTTCAGCTGGAAGGGCTCCAAAGGCTAGCTTCCTGCGTAAAGTCGGAGAAAGAAGGATTGAAGAGTAGAGTAACACCTTCATGGGAGCTATCTTTCACTCCCAAGGTTACCGATACAAAAATTATGGCTTCAAATGTGAAACCAAAAGTAGCTATAATTCGTGAAGAAGGGAGTAACGGTGATAGAGAAATGTCTGCAGCATTTTATGCTGCAGGATTTGAACCTTGGGATATAACAATGTCTGATCTTCTTAATGGCCGTGCTTCTTTAAATGAATTTCGTGGGATTGCTTTTGTTGGAGGCTTTAGCTATGCAGATGTACTCGATTCAGCTAAAGGTTGGTCTGCATCAATAAGATTCAACAAGCCTCTCCTTAGTCAATTTCGAGAGTTTTACAACCGACCCGATACTTTTAGTCTTGGAGTTTGCAATGGTTGTCAACTTATGGCTTTACTTGGATGGGTTCCTGGAGCTAATATCGAAGATATTAAACAGCCGAGGTTTATTCACAATGAATCAGGCCGCTTTGAGTGTCGGTTTACAAGTGTTAAAATAGGTGATTCTCCTGCTATTATGTTTAAAGGTATGGAAGGTAGTTCATTAGGTGTTTGGTCTGCTCATGGTGAAGGTCGTGCATATTTCCCCGATGATGATGTTAAAAATGGAATTCTTGAGTCTAATTTGGCCCCTTTGAGATATTGCGATGATGGTGGAAATATAACTGAGAATTATCCCTTCAATCCGAATGGTTCTCCTTTGGGGGTTGCAGCCCTTTGTTCTCCTGATGGGAGGCATCTCGCTATGATGCCACATCCAGAACGATGTTTCATGATGTGGCAGTTTCCTTGGTATCCGAAGGAATGGGAAGTTGATAAGAAAGGTCCGAGTCCATGGCTTCGGATGTTTCAGAATGCTCGGGAGTGGTGTTCTTGAGACAGGTACAATCAGCAACGTGAACATGCTAATATTTTTGGAATTTTTTGGTATTAAATCATACATATTCGCGATACTATCCCCAAATATCAGTATTTGCAGCACTACCCTGAAATCATCACTTTTGGGGAAAAAACAAAGACAAATTTTTACTCAAAACGTATCCAACAAACTTGATGATTTGTTGATTTGGGAGCATTATTTTCCTTCCAAAGTTGATGATTTGGAGGTAGTTTTGCAAATAACTATATATGAGAAAAATAGAGAAACTTGGTACCAAGTTGTTCCATTGAACTTGGTAGTGATGTGGATTGATCCGGTCCCTACATCTATATTGGAGTAGGTGAAAAGTGGTTGAGGTTCTATTTTCAAGTAATGATGTAGGGGCCAGATCAGTTCACATCACTACCAAGTTCAATGGAGCAACTTGGTACTAAGGTTCTCCATTTCTCTCTCTCTATACACACACACACACATATGTATATATATGGGTTGAGTTATAATACACCTAGGGTGTAACAAACTTAGTTACACCCACATGTAAAAGCACATGTTTGAGCGTCGATATTAACGATCAATACCGTCCATTATGATCTATGCATCCAAAACTTCATGGAGATAAAAAATGTCACATGGATGAGATATTTCTAGTTTATACATCTAGTGACCTAGAAATGAATGGTCTATAACGATCTAAAATTCCCGCTATTTTGAGTTGCTTGAATTAGGATAGAAAATCCCAAGACACATGATATTTGATCCACACTCATTTGATGACATGTAGATCATAATGGAAGGTGTTGATCGTTAATATCGACGCTCAAACATGTGCTTTTACAGGTGGGTGTAACTAAGTTTGTTACAACCTAGGTGTATTATAACCCCACCCATATGTGTGTGTGTGTGTGTTTTTGTGTGTACATACAAAAAAACCAATACTTTCATGAACATTTTTTTACATGTGCTTAAGTTTCTTTAGATGCCAATTTATACCTGTGCAATTGTTTTTCTATTTATGTTCCATTTGCAGATTCTCAAAGACAAGTATTTTTCAGTTGCAGAGTTGTATCTGAAGTGTGATGAAATAACTTGTTTCCTCCAAGCGCTTTCCTTGGCTTGATCTTTTCACAACGGTGAGACCACTGAAGCGTCTTTAAACTCTACTAGACGACGTTTTTAACTTTATTTATAATACCACTTTCAACTGGTAAAACTGCACGTCGAAAATTAATGCAGTAGAGTTTGTTTCTTGATAGTCCTTAGAATTTTCTCCTCTTTTGCATTCATGTTCCCTTCCGTCTCTATGAATTCTTGGTGATCTCTCTTCTTTTGCAACACACCAATAACTGGATAACCACCAATTGCTGTTCTTTTCTTTTCAGTCAGCGAAAGAAATTCTATGTTGTTATCTAAAATAAGCATTGATAGGGTAGAAATATCGACAATTTATGAATGCCGACTGGCTGGTAAAAGGCTTACTCTGATATTGTGATGATAATACTGCCATAATAGCGAGAAGATACAAGAATTTCGTGAACAAGTATTTTTACTAAGAAGTACTATCCAAATCAGAGTTTCATTGTTCTAATAAATGTTGCATATAGATAAACCTATCTCCTCAGAGATTGTCTTGATATTCCAGGCTTCTGCAAAGTCGTTTACATTTGATATGAATCTCTGGCTCATTTCTTTGAACGAAACGTAGGAGCAATTCTAGTCATGGAAGGAAATATTTTTGATGCTTAGTTGTATTTGAAACTCGAAAGTGTTTACTTTTTCTTCCGCTATTACTACTAGCACTGTCTAATTTATTCTCTTTGGTTGGCTTGGTTATCTGCAGAAATTTTGCGAGGAATTTTCAAGAAATAACAGTTGAAAGAGATTCGCTTATGTAATTTTATCAGTTAGGTAGGCAGTGGGAAAATGTAATCTCTGTCAGTCAATTGGATTTGGGGCAACATTATTTTGCTTAATTTTCTCTTTTGACTGTCCTGTGCAAGTATTTTGATCATTAAGTTTCGTTAAATGTCTATGCTTTGTTATTGATGGATTACATACAATGACTCAAATAAATTACATATAAACATGTAAATCTCTTGTTTAGAGATTACCACTGTTTTGAAGTTCCTACTCTCAAGTTGTTCGTGTGACATCCCACTTAGTGGAATTGACAGTGACCTTTTCAAGAGAAAGGTTTAGTCCCACGTCGGTGGGAGAGTGGAAAATTGAAGTGTTTATATAGTGGAAGCTAAATACTCAAGGGCAACACCAGTTGTCGATTTTTGCAATGGTTTGAGCTAAATAATGCATTAGACTCGGTAGATCCCTCGGTTTGCATGTATCAACGGCCCCGGGGCGTGACAGTTTGTGTTTGTAGGCAGCAGTTAGAACTCTTTTACCCTCAAGGAGTGTACTTGTCAAATGACAATTTTCTTGTCTCTCTGAGAGGGTAAAAGGAGGATACTTTAAGGGATCTATGTGCAATTAACCCATAATTTATTGTATTTGGGCTGTTATTGATATAAAAATCATCATTGATGCATCATCATATATATGAGCTATTTTTTTAGAACAAACACGAAAAACTTCAAAATTGTGTTATATTTGCCGGAAAGAAAGGTTTATACTTAAATAATAGTACCCAGTCTCTGGGAAAAAATGTTAATAGGTCCCCAGGTAACGGAATAAATCACCTCAAGTGAAGTGGCAAGTTAAAAACCAAGTGAGGTTATAACAGCAGCTTATCAATATTTAATGATGTTTGCCTTCACCAGTGCAAGTACACACCTAAAGTTGCATTGCCCTATTAAACAACGTTAAAATAAAAATAAAATAAAATAAAAAGAATTCTTTTCCCCCTCGACTGTTGCCCACATCGAAAGAGAAGATACCGCGTAGAGCATTTTGACGCATGAAATTTTGCACCATAATAACACAAGCTGAAGAACCGGCAGCTCGGTAATGCTCATCCATGGTGTCAAAGTACAGTGTGTCAGAGACGCAGTGCCCCGAAATACTAACACGGGAACACTGGAAAGAGTAAGAATATTGTTTGCTCGAAGAATTTGAAGCAGGGCAAGCTGCCAGTCCACTCTGTAGAGCAGAAGAGTACCTCTGAAGCGAACAAGCGATGAGCGAAGCGGGTGATGACTTATGGGGATCAAAGAATTCCAGCTGAATCAAGGACGCATTGGTATGTTGAGCTCATTTAACCACCAAATCCAATTGAAATTAAGAAATTGAGGAAGTAGTACTCCGAGTCCACTACTCGTTGGACATCACTGCTTGTATCAATCAGAAGAAGAAGCTCTTTTGCAGGATTGCCCAATTTCACGCGAGCAACATAAAGCCTAAAAAAAGTTCTATACACCCCAGACTAAAATTGCTGCATGATAATAATATAAGAACCAGCCATAGTGATAGAAATAAATAATAGGAGCGCACAACTATTCTCAAATAACAAAACGCATTAAAAGTAGTAGGGTAACTCGACTCCAGCTCATAGCTTAAGAGTTGAAATAAATCATAGAAGCAATAACTCAGTGAAAATATAAGGAAACTAAAAAAAATAAGCAAAGCTATATTTTGCATTTATTTTGTTTCTTTTTATTTTATTTTAACAGCTAGAAAATAAGAAAATAACTCTTTTATGTAAATTTCCTTTTTCTATTACATTCATTTTTTTATGTCAGTGCAATTTGGCAAGAATTGGGTCTCCATGTGAAACCGGAATCTTAGTTAAAAAAAGGAAAAAAAAGAAGAACAAGAAGAAAAGGTTCTGATGTATCTTATATATGAGTGAAGTTACTTCATAGGATATAGCAAAGCTATGAATTGTACTAAATAGCTTAACTTGAAAATCAAGTTCTGAAAACATGTCACCAAAGTTTATCAGTTGTTGCAACATATTAGTAGTTCTGATGTTTAAGGGAAGTGTACCAATTACCTCTAGCTTAAACTCATCATGATCTCTCTGTCCTTTGCTTTATCCTCTGCATCCTGTTGCTTTCTATAGAGAGATGCTCTGCTCAAGGCAAAACCGGCCCTGCTCAAGATAGATACATCACCATCTCTAGCTCCAATTTTGATTTCGATACAAGTGGCAATATATTTAAGCGGGTTTTAGATGAAGAGCTCTTAGTATATTGACCCTTTCTGTCCAATTTTGATTTCGATACAAGTGGCAATATATTTAAGCGGGTTTTAGATGAAGAGCTCTTAGTATATTGACCCTTTCTGTCCAATTTTGATTTCGATACAAGTGGCAATATATTTAAGCGGGTTTTAGATGAAGAGCTCTTAGTATATTGACCCTTTCTGTCCAATTTTGATTTCGATACAAGTGGCAATATATTTAAGCGGGTTTTAGATGAAGAGCTCTTAGTATATTGACCCTTTCTG